GTTGTAGAAATGTTCAACTTGCACTTGAATTTCTTCATTGCTGAAATAGCCTGTCCACAAAGTTTTTTTTTGACAATTATTTTAGGGGCTAGCGCGCGAGGAAAAAAAGAAATATCTGAGAACATTTTTGGGCAAAAGTCCTTTTTAAGTCCCCTTCCCATTTCGAGTCTTTCAATGACAGTCGACTTCGCGTGTTCGTTAACGAGAAATGAATCTTTTTCCTTGTTAATATGCCTGTATGTCAACAAATTTGAATTGTTAAGTGTAACAGAGACGTTTTGTCGAAAAATTTGATCTACCTCCTTTGATGCTACAACCAAAACAACGTTTTTCCTATTTGTTGACGTTTTGCTGCCGAGAAAGATAATGTTGAAAGAAAATTTTTCCCAAAGAGAACTGTTAAAACATCCTTTGCCTCAAGAATAAGCTCAAGACAGTCTCAGTCATAGCTCTTTTCTTAAAAACGAGTCCCTTGAAAAGTCTCACCAAACAGTCGTCAAGCAAGCTCTCGCAACAAATTCAGGACGGCATTTTGCTGCTTGGTTTTCCCGTCACAGACAGAACGCCGGAGATTTCCGTGAAGTTTGTTGTTAAAAGGTGAGAAGATGATTTATAAGTTCACTTCCCGGTTAATTGTTTGTCATCAAGAGCCATCATGGCTCTTGTTCGCCACTCTTTTTGCACATCTCACATAATACAACTTGTTCTTTATTTCTCATGGGTATTACAGAATTTTGGGGAGAATTTATTGCTTTTATTTATCGTAGAAGTGAAAATGAACGTAAATCTGTCGCACTAAAGTGCTATTTTGACCGAACGCATGAACAATGCACCTATATTTTATATTAACTTAACTCTACTCCCTCTTCATAGTATTTGCTATTGTTGCCTTTTTCGACTGATAGTGGAGGATGGCTCTGATTCAAAGAAGAGGTAAAAATGAACATTCATATGTTTGAAAATTAGTCTTCACTATTGCTGAATTTTAAGCGTCGATAAATATGCGAGAAGGAAGTCGCAATATAAATTTTAAGTCAAAGTCAATTTTGTTATCAAAGAATTCTGAAGAATTGCAGGACGAGACACAGGAGCGTAGGTCAGGCAGGAGAAGCCTGATTTATTTCAGTTTCTTTCTAAATGATTGGGATGTTCGTCGTCTGTTTCTCGGGTTAATTAAATCATTCGTCACTCGTTCGCTGGGACGTAGACGCCCTTCGGTTCCCGGCCAAACTCTAAAGCACCCGAAATCAAACGGTGGAACGGATCGATCGTTCCGAAAGGCGAGACTACGCCTACAAACCATCCCTGGTGGATCGCAGACGTTGTTAGGGCTTCGTCACGCGTTCCTGCCCCACCAGTACCCTATTTGATGCCCCGTCCACACGTATCCGAATAATTATGAATCTGCAACGTTTCCTTTCCGGATACAGCTTCCTTCCACACGAATCCAGTGAATCCGGCAGATGAATCCGCAACTTTTTAAATCCGCTCTCCAGGTACCCTGGGTGCCAGAGACTTTTCTAGCGCGGTTTCCCGTTTCTGTCAAGTCATAGTGACCCGCGCGGCTTCGGCCTACGGCCGAAGATGTGTCGGCCTTCGGCCAACACCGAAAATTCCCACCGCATGCGAGAAAAACCTCTGGTACCCAGGGTACTCTCCAGGGCGGAAATTTTTGAATACGCTATGATTCCGGAATCGTGTTAGACTACGAGTAGTCCCTCATTTTTCCTCAGGGATAGTAGAGCGAAAGAAACGCGAGCGCTCGTGAAAATCACCCCACGCGAGAAAAGGCGACACGCGTTCTCGCGTGAGGTGATTTTGACGCGCGCTCGTGTTTCGCTCGCTCTACTATCCCTGAGGAAAAATGGGGGACTACTCGTAGTCTAGAATCGTGTGAATCCGGATTTTTTTTTTTATCCGGTGACGTAACAATATCGAGCCCAGTTCTTTACCCTAGTGCACTATTATCGCTTCTCTACTTAGCTTCTTGGACTTCAGTTTCAAGTCTTATAACGTGCACATGTGTGCAGTTAAACCTAGCTATGATATTAATATGATAATATGATAATTCTAGCGATAAAATCGAGAATTATAACCCAAGGCAAAGCAAGATGCAAATTTCTCGCGCTTTACGACGCATGCTCTGTTGCCTGGGTACTAAAGTGAATCCGCATATGTGTCGGAGTGTCGGATACGTGTGGACGGGCAAATTCGATTTGAATACGGATACGTGAGGACGTGGAAATTTGTGAATTCGGAAAGAAAAAGTTGCGGATTCAAAAGTATTCGGATACGTGTGGACGGGGCCGGAGTTATTATTTTTTTAGGAAAGCTGGCCTTGATTAAAAAACCAAGCTCGTCGGAGAAGTGTGTTTTAAGTGATGATCCGGGTAAGGTGGATAGCAATTTCTTTTGTTATGCGGGAACGGTGCTTTCCCCACATAGGAATGTTCTCATTTTTGCCCAGGGAATGCATAAACTTACATGAAGGCCGCTCACGCAATAAAATGCATTTACACTCCACTTTGAAAGGGTGTTTTTCGGGGTTAAAAGATTTTGACCAATCACAAGAGTTGAAAACAATAGCAAAGAAAAGTTTACAATTTTACATGTTCCCCACATAGGATTTCTTTGTCATTCAAACTGAGACCAGATTTTGTTATATGGAAGATGGTTGGAAAGTAAGGATGAATCTATTCAGAAGTAAGTACAGACAATAGAAAAGTTAGCACCTTTTTTGCATTCCAACATGTTCGCTGCCGTTGTTGCTATCGTTCTTATCTGGACCGTTTCTCAAAGGCTTGTTTATAAGCTTGATGGTGGAGAGTGCACTTAGCTTATCCAGCTAGTTTACAGGCACTCCACTCAAATACTTAGAAACAAAAAATACAAAATAACAGGACTGAAAATCCTAACTGGCAGGAGGCTGCACCAGTTGGCTATTTACAAGTGTGGCCGAGGATTGAACTCGGGACGACTGAGAACAAATCCAGCAAGTGCCCAGAGCGGGACTCGAACATGGGACAGCTGGATTGCGAGTCCGACGCGCTGACCACTCGGCCACGCTGCCTCCTAAATGGCTGCTAAGTGTAATCTTAGATATTCCACAAGTGGGAATCATTTTAGAAATATATATATGAAAAAGGTTAACTGTATTGCTTGGCGTTTGGGAAACGAATCGCAAACTGCACTTTGGGATGAAATTTCCCGAATTAAAAGTTCATATTCTAGATATTGTACAGTTTAACTTCGTAACTCACTTTCTTTTCAAGATATCACAGACGAAACGAAAAGGGGTTGAGGTATATCAGATCACTTTGACTTAAACAGGTGGAGGACTTTTGATGGACACCCAAAAACCGCCTGCAATTACCAGCATATCCGCAAAACTTTTTCCAATCTTTTTTTTGCGTGCTAATAGAATCTAAATTGCAGAGGAACATTACTTCAATACAATTGCAACTGTATGTCCATTTTCACAACGTTGAAGGGTCTTAAAGTGTAACTTGGTACAGTTTATGACTCTACAATCCGAAAGCTGACTCCGATAATAATAAACAAGGATGGAGCCCTTTTTCATGAGTCCGAATCCAAGATAAGGGGTAAATGATAGATTTCCTTTACCGTATTTATTTGATTAACCGCCCTGGGCGCTTATTAAATTTCACCATTTTCAGCAAGTGTACTGTATGTTTATTTTGCAACAATACAATAAATGGTAATGATAAAACTCGAAGATGAAACAAGGCAAGGTTCCTGTAAAATACTCTGAAGAAAATTCCGTCTTCGGGCAAGTCTCTTATTGGTACTTGTTCAATGTTTTTTGGGTGGGAGGGACCAGAAGGAGGGTCGGGGGTGGGCGCTTATTGATTTGAGTTTGAGTTTGAGTGGGAGGGAGGTGGGGTGGGGGTGGGCGCTTATTCGAGGCCGGGCGCCTATAAACTTTAGGATGGGCGCTTGTTCGAGGTGGGCGCTAATTCGAGGTTGGGCGTTCATTCGAATAAATACGGTAATCGAACCCAAGAAACTTCTGTGTGGCGGTCCGCTGACCTGGAAAACTCAAATCCATGATGGCGGTCATCGAGTAATTATCCCGGGGGGGTACTCCCATACATTACCTATACGGGTATGTGCCTCCCAAAGGGGTCGTGATTTTGAAGCTCCTGATTTAGAACGGGGTATCCATTTCAGAGGCCTTTTCTAGAACGGGGTATAATGTTTCGAACGCACGAAAGCTCCACTTTTGTAAGCAGCCGTTTGAAAGTATTCAAGGACAGATTGCTTTTAAAAATACGGTTCAATGCGTTAACAAGCAAACTGTTGTACTCTTGTTGCACCCTAGAACGGAGTATAAAAAATTGGCCCATTTCTAGAATGGGGTATCAGTTTTAGGGCGAATTCTAGAACGGGGTATAAAAAATTGGCCCATTTCTAGAACGGGGTATCAATTTTAGGGCAAATTTTTTCTAGAACGGGGTGCCAATTTGGAGTCCCGGGCGGCACATACCCTAACCTGAGATCAGGCGTCTCTTTTTTTTTTTTTTGCTTCTTTGGCTCGAAGGGATAATAGGGAGAGGGCATGATCTCAGGCTACACATACCCACCCAAAAAATACCCAAGTGCCCCCCCCCCCGGGGTATTTACCCTCTTCCTGTTTTGTTGTGCATTATAATTCTTTAATTTCATGATTTAATTAAGGTTTACAACGTTTACAATTTATGTAAATTGTATTTGTTGCGAAAAAGGTAAGGATAAAACTGTGTTTGTAACCGAAACTTTCTTGAGTCAAAGTGGCTCCCTGTTTGTCACCGAAAATTTCTGGAGTCAAAGTGACTCCCTCCGTAACCTCAGTGGAGTCATCTGAACAATTTTGGCGTAAAATACGCCAAATTTGGCGTATTTGCGAACTCTGTAATATCAATGTCTGACTATTCACAATGCAGATCGATAATCATAATTTAAATTTTCTCAGCTGGGGGTGCCCTGATAGCGCGGGCACTGGAGACAGCAAGATGGCTTCCAAGAAGCGAAAGTTAGAGGAGGACCGATTGGAAATTTTTCCCCATCAAACTGAAAAGATAGAATCCAGAGAGATGCTTATTTATATCATCCCTAAAAAGATTCCAAAAGCAAGGCTCCAGGTGTTGAACAATCTTGCGCAAAGAAAGGGATTTCCAATAACAGAAAAGTTCAGGTAAAATTTGCAAATAAGCTCACAAGCTTACAATGTTGTGCAGTCAAAACGTAAACTATTAAACGGCTGTGTGATGTCTTTCCGTAAGCCATTGCTTAAGCTATGCGAAAAGGGCTCGGAAATTGGAGATCGTGCTTCAACAAACAGGATCAGTACCAGCTAGCTGCCCCGGGGAGCTGAGGGGCAGGAGGGGTAAGGACGGTAAGGGTAAGGGGCACAATAGATAATTTACCCTTAAGTGTCAACAAGCAAATGCCCCATACATTTTATGTTACTGTATCACCCCCTTTATTTTCATTTTTTTTAAACTCCCCCCTTATTTTATTTTTATTTTTATTTTCATGACATTATGTTTGGTAACAGGGATCACTATAAGAGGAAAAAATTCATGCTGGCCATTCTTAAAGTATGCATAAATAACAATTATTCACCGAAGTGGAGGTGGCTAGTCCTGAATATTTACCGAACTGCGAAGCAGTGAGGTAAATATTCACGACTAGCCACCGACACTGAGGTGAATAATTGTTTTAGTATATACTAAAACAGTGAGATAATTGAGCACAAAAATGACGATTTTTAACTCAAATACTGTTGCCAACGATTACAATTTTGGCGCGTAATGACCGGGCGGCCGCGGCCGTCGCTTTTTCTTGCCGACAATTAAAACTTTTGAAGGCATTTGTTTAGCTCTTGCGGGGAAATTTCTTCAAAAGGAGTTGTGAATTCTTTTTGTATTTAAAATCATTCTATAAAAAAAGATTATTAAATTTAGTTTTAAGCTTATTTATGAACAACTCAACTAAATAAAGTAAGCAAGACTTAAACTTAATTTGCATTCGTAAACAAAAACTTTTTCACCAGTTTTATCGATAAATTCGTGTCAAAAAGACAAAGCTTTTACCTGTTAAAACTTCCAATCCGAACTTCGTCACCTTCTTCGTGTATTTCGGAAACAGCTTGCTTGATTAGTTGTGAAATTTCTATGTTTGTTTATGGCAGCAAACCGGGAAGGCATTTTGCTCGCAACTTACGCGAGTTTGGCGTTGCTCGCTCAGAGGGACTGGAGGTGACTCAGTGAATAGTGCAGGATATTCACTGATTGAGTAGCCAATCAGAGCGCGCGAAAAACACTATCCACTGTTTTAGTATATACTAAATATGAATACCCTGTTCTAGAACAGACAGCACATGGGCTGCAACATTTTCCTGTGATAGTTTGTTTACTAAACTATTTGTAAGTTTTCATGTGTATGATACCCTATTCTAGGTAACATGCTGAGTCCTAAAAACACAAACTCTTTGGTCAGCACACCACCATTTAATTATTTGGGAGAGTACTCTTACTTTCCTTGCTGGCCCCCTCCCCCTTCCACCCCGAGTGAGCATGGATCACACGGGCATAGAAAACTTCCCATTCTATTATATCCCTTCTTTGACTATTTCATCCCTGGATAAGCGGCATTTTTGTTGTCTTCATAGCAACTTGGTGACTCATGTTGTGACAAGTTATGATTCCAGGGAGAAGGCTATCTCTGCATTAGAATGGTATGAAATAAATTAACCTCCTTAGGATAAAGTTTTATGCAGTATTGTTCATGTTAAAATTTGTGAAATCACCAATCGGCAACACAAACGACTGACAAGTAACCAAATGAATTACCCATCAGGGTTCTCATTAAGTTTTAAAGTAGACAGCTATGATGTAAAAGTAGGCGGCTTAGTAATCGAGTGCTGCGCAAGTGCTGTAGGCATGTTGAGGCTTTCACTTTACCCTTTATTCCCCAAAACTAGATGGGTAGAATTCAATGTAGCCTGTGTTTTAGCTGGTTGGCAGCACTTAATGAGAACCTTGCCTGGACAATGTTATAATATTTAACTAACAAGAAAACAAACTGATTAGTTTCTGGTTATAATATGGTGCAATGACAAAGTTTATGCTTGTATATTTTCATCCCCAATTTGCCCCACATTCTTTTATTGACAGTCCATTGAGATTTTCAAGTTCTTGATGAATTTATGTGTTGGTGGGGGCAAGTGGTCAGTTTTTCCTGGTACTGTTTGAAAAATAGAACTGTTGAATGCTCTTGTCACTATTTATTGGCAGTAGAATTAAGCAGGCATATTTTTTTTCACCAGGCAACCTGCAGAAAATGTAGAAATACTTAACTTACTGTCGATTGTGAGTACTCTGTTTTGTACTGTTCTTAATATAAACCTATAACTATTTAATTATTGTTTAAGCCTACATTGGAAGCTTTTCATTGGGTGCATGAGTTTTTTTGTTCTCAAAATCACCATGTCAAAACTGCCATATTGAATAATCAATATGCAAAACAGCAGAGATGTTGAGGCAAGTCAAGGGAAAGGGGAAGGGGTAGGGAAAGAGAATTCTCCCTCCTGCATCCCCTTCTTTCACCCTAACACCTACCCCAAGGGATGATATTTCTACTCTCTCCAATCTTCCTCAGTCATAAAATCAAAGATGGCGGCCAGTGGGAACATAAACAAGCAAGCTTTCGCTCACCCAAAAATATGCCTGCGATGCAGGATATCGTTGTTTTTCTAGTTGTGTGTGTAATATATGTGGTAAATATTACTTAACATGGATTAATAGAGGCAGCGTATGAAAGGTTATGAGTAAACCTTAAAGTTGAACCTTGCTTGAAACTTTTATGTTTACTCACGACCTTTCATACATTGCCTCTGTTTTAGTAACACTCATAAAAATTGCATAGCAGTAAAAATCCACCTGTACAAATACTGGTTGGGGGGGGGTTAATCAAGGGAGCTGGGGTCCTTAGGATGCCCTTGCACCACCCTTGCACCACTCTTCTTACTCCAGATACTCATTCTTTAACACAACACAGGTGTAAAACTACTCTCAGATGCCAACTGCCTTATATCCCCCCTCCCTTCTTCGAGGTCAAATCCTTGATCTGCCCTTCTGAAAAGGCGTGATTCAATGGTATTTATTAGTGCTTTGTGTGTAATTCACCAGGGCTGACTGACTGCACAACAGCAGGAAAAATAGTGGATGTTACTGATAAAGTTAGAGTACAGGGAGCTACCACAGCTTCATCAAACAAAGAAACTTTTAGGTAAAGGATGAAGAGAAAGACAAATGATGCAAGTTTGAAACCTTTAAAAAGCCATTGATCTTTAATATTATTGTTTCACTTTGTTTGTATAACTTATAATTAAAGAGCAGATTTGGAAAACAAGGATGCAAGCAAAGATGGTGAATCTTGTGAGTATCAGGTGAGGAATTTGTAAGTAAAAATGTATTTACTGTCGTTAAATTCATTGACAGAGTACAATTAGTTAACTAACAGAGGTTTTTTTATAATTTAATTTTTTTGCATTTTAATCTTAGTTGTATACACAGTCATGCATAATGTGCAGATATATGTATATTAAGAGTAATTAAAATCAAGTGATTGCAGTGAACAATGATTACAATTCTTTCTAGTTATTTAAAAGTGGATCCCTTTTTGTAAACTTTTTGCTTTTTAGGACACAAAGTTTGTGTGCCAAAGAGGAACACCACTAAATCACCACAATACCAAGTTCACTGTAAGTTATATAATTTAAGAGATCAATAATTATGATAAAGTAATATAATATATGATATTATATGATAGAATAAAATTTCCAATCGAATAATCTGGCTTAACCAAAGTTTTTAATTTTCTTGTCAAGGATGCACTTGAAATTCTGGAACGCCATGTCGTGTATGTTGACAGTGGACAGAGAGATTCTAGAGCACTTGCCTTCAGAAGAGCGGCTTGTGCACTCAAGTCTTATCCAAAGTATGTTACTCAATTATTTACAAATAGTACAGATCCTTTTATTCAAGCAATGCAGCTGTTTCTAAAGCAAAAAGGGAGCTATAAGTTGTTGGGTGGAAGCATGCCAACTTAATGTTACAGATATTATGCCATCTGCAAAATAACAGCAATTTTTTTGGAGTTATTAATAGTTAGGGTCAATCCTTATGGTGCATTCAAACCAGAATTAGATGTCTTTGAGGCTTTTGGTATGCCTTGTGTCAAACCATCCTATTTATTTGCATCCAGTTGTAATCTATTTAGCTTATCTGATTCAGTCCATGTGGTGAGAAGGTCTAGTCATATCCCCAGGTTAGGGTGCAAAGAAGTGACAACAGGCTTGCAGAAAAAGAAAAATGAAAAAAATTTTTTGGCAACAAAGAAAATAGTAAATTGGACTTTCAAGGTATATATAATTTTGGGAGAGGCAGTTTTATTGTCAGCTCTGTTTCAGGCAGATCAGTAGAATTGAAGAAGCAGCGAACCTGAGCAGTGTAGGAAATCACAGTAAAAAAGTCATTCAGGTAAGTGGGTTAGTGTGCTTAAATCATATATGGCTGTACAAATAATTAATTTTCCTGTTGGTCTTTCTCTGGTTTTCCATTTTTCTTTCTCAAAATTAATGGAATCAGGCTTGTAATATTGTGAAACATTTTATTTTGCCTATGTCAAAACAGGATATTCTAGAAAATGGTTCATCTGTAGAAGTTCAAGACATCCTATCCAGTGACTTCTTTAAGTCGATGGAGGTTTGTTTTCAGATATTTCTGTTAATCCTGGGCAGAGCTTGCCTTAATAAATTGTTAATAAATAGGCCAGACAGGCATTTTTCCAGCTAGACAGATGGGATTCATTCAGATACTAAGGTCATGCCATAAATTAGTTGGCGACTAAATCATCCACACAGTTTGTTAACATCAAAATCTTGCCAGTAGGTTCATAAAGTTTCAACATCTTCCCAGCAAAAACGTCAGATTACAATGTCAGCATCTTGTCAGCAAGATCTTGAAGTTTCAACATCTTGCCATTAAAGTTTATCATCTTGTTATTAAATGAACCTATGTTATAATATCTGATCACTGGTTGTTTATTAACTGGGCCTTTACTGCATCAATAATTCACTTAACCATAAAACAGTAAACTTTTGAGTGGCAAAATTATTATATCATTGAACAAAGAGCTTATTAATTAGTGGATTCTGAAAAATATTCTGCTTAATTAGATATTCTCATCTATATATGGATGTGGACCTGCTACAGCTCGAAAGTGGTACGAGAAAGGTCATCGAAACATGTTTGACATCATTCAAGCTGTGAAAAATGGAATGAAACTCACAGAACAGCAGACAATGGGTAAAGTATTTTTGTTATTCTAAATAACAATACTGTGGTTCAGCATCATTACAGTGAGAATGTAAGTTTTATTCATTTTTGAGTTGTCATCTTACTGGTCATCAATTAGTTTTGCAGGATCGTGTTGATTTTGTCGAGTTTGTTGCTGCAGTGTTTTGTTACTCTTATCCCAGCTTGGGGTGTCAACTGTGGCAACATTTTGCTTTCAGTTATGATGCTTAAATTAAGTACAGATTAACGTTATTTTATAGGTTTAAAGTATTATGATGATTTAATTCAACCTGTTCCAAGAGAAGAAGCCATTTGTATTAAAAACATTGTGGCAAAAGAGGTCAGTTAAACGTCATCTTCAACATATGATTTCATGACACCATATTTGGGGTAGAGAATCAGGTCCCTCCAAAAATGTGGGTCAAGGAATATTAGCCTGATCTTGAAACCTCAGAAGCGTTTGTTGATAGGTCGCAAAGTCTCATTCTTGGGTGATTTTGCATCTCAGAGTCTTGGTCATGAATTTTGAAACTGGGGTCTTGCAAATCTCAAATTTACCGTTCTAGACCCCTATATTTGACTGTCATTATGTTATCACAACATCACCCATGATGGAGAGTAATACTATTTTATAAGACTATTTAAAAGGCTCATTATTATCAATTTTTCATTTCATAGTTAAACAGTATCCAGCCAAACTGTACAGTGGAACTAGTTGGAGGGTACCGCAGGTGACCATACAATGTACATGTTTCTTTCACTCAATTCTTTCATAAAAAGTGTATGATTTTACTTCTACAGCAAATAGTCAACAAATAGATTACAGTTTTGAACTTTTTGACCTCATTTCTATGACCTGTAAGAGTTTAGACAATGGAAAATTGTCTTTTTATTGAAACTCTTATAACATGAAAAGCTTTGGACATCCATTATTTCTGCCAAAGTTAATTCTTCAAAAATCACATGCAAGAGACAAGAAAAAAATTGTGCCATTTTTTTTAAAATTTATTTCCATGGACAATTAGACGATGACTCTCAACCAGTGAGTATGTGAGATGTTGCCCAGTTGTTTTAAAATAAATAGTCTTTAAGCTTAGCAATAGTTTGTTTCTGTCCCAATCTTTTCTAGAGGTAAACCATCAGGACACGATGTGGACATTTTGATCACCCATAAAGATGTCCACCGAGTTGAAGGATTGCTAGTAAAGCTTGTTGAAAGGCTTGATAAGCTGGTAAGGACATAAAGAAACAATAAATCAAAGCCAAATTAGAGGGATTCAAAGGATTTTTACAGCTAAAACACTTTTTGAGCATTTGTTTGTTAACAAAGTGAATGTTCTTTTTTTCCTTTTCAGGGTCACATGGTTCACAAGGACTTAATGGTTGGTCGGAATTCAGCTCTTGGTGGAAGCCAAAAGTATGTTGCAACAAAATAAAGACTTCAATTTGAAAGCCTTGACAATATTCTCCCACCTAATGGGATACTGACATCAACATGACATAGCTACATTATCTGGTAATGTAGCCATTGTACTTCAACAGTTATTACTAACATTTTTTTGGTGCTCTGGTGGTCAGCATATTTGTGTTTCCTTACTTAGTTTTGAGGGTTGTAAGAGAGAGATATTTAAAAGAGACCAATGTTAAAAAAAAACCTAGCGACCCAAATACATCGAGACAAAACACTATAAACTCTGTAAGGGGAAGTGGGGGGGAGTCTTAATGGCCAAAAATTTATTGAAGAAAAATATCATCAAGGCCTTAATTGGTAGCAGTGTTAAAGGCATCTGAATGGACTACCTAACCCTGATATGAATAAATATTAAGGTCTCTCTCTCTCTTATGAAGCATATCTTAGTTTATATCTCTGTCAGCAAGTTAAATTATCTATTTTATTTGGGCAAAATAACAATTTTAATTTTTTTCCTTGTTGCCATCTCCTCCAGACTAATCTACATAAAATGCTGAAACAAAATATGTACAATGTTCAAATATAAAGGCAAACTAATGGAAAAAATTAACCTAAAAAAACTACAAACCTAGACAATAAATTATTGTCCCCTGAATGGCCAGGAGTGTTTAAAAGGAAGAAAATCACATTAATGGGCTTGGTCAGTGATATTTTCTCCCTTGCTTAGACACACGGTGGGCCACGTGGATAATCTTGACCACTGCTTCTGTATGTTTCAACTGACAACAATGACATTGGCATCGTCAGAGAGTGATTCACCAATGGGTTCAACGAGGAATGGAGGATCGTGCACTGATGACTTCCAAGAGGGAAGGGGTGGAAGAGCAGTTAGAAGAGTTGACCTGATTGTGACTCCACCCAATCAATTCCCATTTTCTTTGCTAGGATGGACAGGTTCTAAGGTGTGTACACCAGCTTCTGTCAATAATAAACTGTTATCATAATGCAACCCTTAAAGTGGTCTCCTCTGGCTCTTTCAAAAACTTGAGGCACCAAATTGACTTATTGTGTGCTCAATTTTTGCATTAACATCTGTTGTTATTTTGAAACAATTTTTAGGACTTGTATTAGTGACGTATTATGATTGATGATGTTACTGTCAATAATTATGCAACTGTTTTTCTTGTCTAGCAATTTAACCGCTCAATAAGGGACTATGCCTGGAAAATATTGAAAATCAAGTTATCGAACCACGGAATGTGGGATCATAACCAAGTGGTAAGTTCTTGTGTTCTTAAGAACAGGGGATCATAGATGTCACTATGCTGCACTTACCAATAATCATCTTCTTTTGACTATACATGTACAAGTCCAAAGAAGAGTTAGATGCTCCCTTTTTAAGGCTTCAAAGTACTTTGAACAATTCCTGCCAACAAGTGGGGAAAATATAGGATGAAAACAACTGAAGCACATCTTACTCCCTAATAAATTTTATTTAGTTGTTTTAATTATGTGAATAATTTAACTGACTCATTCTGACAAAGGGCTAGTGCTGTAAATTTCAGCCTCTGAATTTCCTCACAGTGGCCAATGTATTTTATCAACCAAACTTGTTTTTTACTTTCCCACAATAGCATGTAGAACAGGTGTTTTGAGGAGGGGTTTTTCAGGTGAGTGGAGCATGAAACAATAGCCTTCCTCCGTTTCAGGTCTCGTGCTTCACGTCTGCTTTAGGTTGGCCTTTATCATTTGCCCCTGCATGGCAGGCGCCAGTTAGTTTTATGGTTTTTTTATACGTGCATCCTCAAAATTTCTCCCTTTGCTCTGAAAATTCTGGCAACTATGTTCATGCGAAAAAACGTGAAAAATCGTAATGCTTGTTCTGTAGGCTAGCCCACCAAGGCAGCCCTACAGTTTTCTTAGAAGCAAACCCCTTACATATAACATGGCTTTTCTTCTTTACAGCCTCCTTGTCTCCTTGAAGCAAAGTCAGAAGAAGAGATATTTGCCACGCTGAAACTTGAATACAGGCAACCAGAGGACAGGAATGCATAAAGTTATCATTTATTTCAACAATCAATCAATTATCACTCTTATTTCCTCACATCTTTGTAATTATACAGCAATGTTTTTCTGTCATTGCATTACACAAACAACATACATTTTACTCACACTTGTATGGTTGAAAGGCACAAACTATGACGGTGTTTGACTTAAACCTCAGAGTCACTTTCTCTATTCTTTAATATAAGTAAAAGGAATTGCAACCTCCGAATAACTTTCTTTGCGGGAAGTTTTGCTCAATATTATTTTTCAGATCATAAGTAAAACTGAAAAATTACAAAATTTACCACCTGCGAAATTTTCCAACAAATTAATGGAGAACTACTTGTATTGAGGAAGAAGGGCGCTAACAAAAATAACCCAGCTGCTTGAAAAATGACAAAATAATTTATTAAAGCCACTTCACTGTGATTAATTTACATCCAAGACTGAATTTGGCTGGTTAATCACATGCAAATGACTTTACAAAAATATAATCTTATTATTATTATTAAAAATGCATGTGCAATATACTTAGATAAATTTCCTTATGTTTCAACACAATTTCTGAACCAACATTTAGATAATTTAGAATAGTTTATGCCTCTTTTTTGACAAAAATGGCTACACTGTACTGCTGTGTCATTTCTGGAAAACAAATACATCACATTATTTCTTTCTTATCTCTCAATGCATCTTTCACCTGTGGTAGAAAAAGTATAAACAAGAACAACAACAAAATTAGGGTGGCTGGCAGATTTTTTTAAATTATGATATATTTACTTTTAACTGTTCTTTCTTTTTTCTTTTATAGTGCCTCTTCTCAAACCAGGGCACTTGGAAGAAGATTATCCAATCACAACGTTTTTTGAAAACAAAAGATTCTTGAGGTTTTTTGCAAATAGACCAATAGCATTCATGAATTTGAGTGCTCTTTCCTGAGAGGTCAGGTAAGTTCAAACAGTTTAAAGTTGAACCTTGAATTTTATTGGTCCATTTGCCAAAAAAATTTGAGAATGTTGTGATTGGATAATCTTCTTCAAAGTGCCCCGGTTGGAGTGTTCGCACTGTATTCAATCATCTGAGACAAAGAGGAAATAAACCAAAGGAACTTCTTATAACTGGCAACTTGAAATCTTAGTGACAACTCTTAAGGAACCTAAACAGGAAAAGAATTTTCCTCCCCCAAAAAACATACCCCTAATAACATTGAACTGATTAGGCCAGATGAAAAGAGGTCCCTGATCCAATTTCAGAGTACAATATTGTTATTCTAGACTAGAAAATAATGTAGTGAAGAACACCATAAGAGCTATAAACCAAAATTACAGGTCTACCTTATTATATACCTTTCATCTTTGTATGCATGTAAGGATTGATGGGATAAAATCAATGTAATTTGATCATCAGAAAGCAACCAATATTGTCGAATACCAAGCAAAAAATTATAAAGAACAAGTTTGGCACCACTACTTCTAACATTTAATGACATCTTCAGTTGTTATTGTTCAAGCAAAAAATTATGATCACATACATAACAAGTTTTACATTAATTTGTTGTTTACAATAAACAATACAATAGTGGACCATGACCGCTTGAAGGTAACGCTTCTATCATCTGCTTGCCTCCTGAGAAACCACATGACAAGGCTAATAACTTATCAATCCTTTAGTGCACACATTGGGTGTATCAACACACACTCAAGAAAAGTTTTGAATTTCCCTTACCTTCTCTGATTCTAGTAAAACGATTCCATTCTTTACAAATTCTTCTTTTGTTTTTGCAATTCCTTCAGGTGCAACACCTCTACAAGCATCCACTATGACATGAGTCTTGAAGCCTTGTCCAACAGCATCTATGGATGTTTCTTTCACACACACATCAAAAGCCAATCCACACACATAAACATCTGTCACTCCACGTTTTAAAAGGTCAACAAATAAAGATGATTGTGTACAGTCACCGGTATCCCAAAATGCTGAGTAAGAGTCCACTCTAGGATTTTTCCCCTTTTTGATAGTGATGTCCTTATCTGAAGGAGGCTATAAAAGATTCTTATATCAGTAAACTATTTTTGGGAAGCTTTATATGCCATGGCCAGGGGCATTGCCTGAGAGTTTGAAGGTGTATGTGAGGAAAGAAAATATAAGGGGGCTGAAGGTGGCTCAAACTAGGGGGCTGGGGGCATGCTCCCCTACAAAATGTTTAAATTTAGGGTCCCTGAAATGGACATTTTTAGCAAAAAAAAATACGAAGCAAAGTGCAGTATTTAGTTGTTTATTTTACCGATCTCTTATCTCTTGTGCTATCAGTGGGTAAAACGGTGATGCCATCAAGGAGGTTGGAAGGGCGAGACATCTACCCTTCAGATGGGTAAAGACACCAGTATAACTTGAAAAAGTTATCACTTATTGCAATTTAGCAATAAAAATGCTTTCCGGAAATAAAAGGTATCTTTTGTCCAGATATTAGCTGTATGCATAGGCAGTGTGCATATATGGACACTATGCCCCTGAATACCATGGCACCTTTAGGATGACTAGCTGGGATACCTTATTATAGGAAATTAAGGTATTGGAAATTAACGCCACTTAAATTAACGCGAATTTAATGGAAAACAACTTTCGAATAAAGAAAAATAATGCGAAAAAGGAGGTAGAATTTCATAATAAAGGAAATTAACGCGATTACGACACAGTTGGTGGTGACAACTGGAACAAATTTATGTCAACACTCGATGCAAAAAACTGAACAAAACTGAGCTGACATCACTTCTGACAGCAACAACGATGAAGATGACCTCGAAATATTGTAAACCTTCGCCTTAGCTTTTGTGAAAGATGAAAAATAAAGGGTAAATGGAAAGAAAGAAAGCTTGTAGTTAATGTTTTTCAGGTGTCAAGAATGTCTGGACAGGTTCCAAAATTGGGGTTAAAATACTGGAGGGCGGAAATTAATGCTGCACTTAATAAATGTCACGGAAATTAACCCTCAACAAAATTAACATGACTTAAATTAACGCAAATTTTAACTATTTGCATTAATTTCATGGAGCGTTAATTTCCTATAATAAGGTAGATAAGAAATTAACTCAGTACAGCAGAAGCTGACTTCCACAATGGCCACCTTCAGGGACAAAAGTAGGCAGTCACTGTAGAGAAGACTGGTTGTTCTGGTTATGCAACAAAACACCAACACAACTTAGAAAATACCAGCGATTTAAAAGGGAGATTTAAACGGAAGGGTTTGAATGGAAAAAAATGCTGCGTGGCAAGGTGCGCTGTCCAGAAACTTTTTCCATTGATACTTTTTGTATTTTTTCAGTTATTTAAACCACCATAAAACCACACTCTTTAGAGTTTAAAGCCTAAAAATTGATAGACCAGAACAACAAGAAGAGGGCCATTGTTGAATGGTGGCTGTTCTAAGTAGAGGATTAGCCTGAAGTGCAGGCGTATTTTGTGTGGGCGAAACCTTGTTTGTGTTCATATTATTGTAGCTGCCATCTTTGATTTTATGACAGTGGAAGATTGGGGACAGTAGAAATAGTAAAAACATTTGCACGCCCAAAGATAACGCCTGCACTGCAGGCTAGTAGAGGATTGAATGTACGAAAATCAGCCTGCCTAAAGGGCATGATGTTGCTTATCAGAGTACTAGTCAAAGCTCTCAGTAGTTACCCCAAATTAACTAAGAGTACTTTCCATTTGTCAGAAATGCAGGCGAGCCAAATTATTCTGTTCCTATTTTTAATGAGAATTTCACTTTTTATCAAAACTGTTCTGCCAGATCAAATAATTCCAAAGGGTTGATGGATTTTTAAGCCAAAACTCTTAACAATGCCAGCTATTTCATTTTCTAAATGAACTGTATGGCCACCAAGTTTTGACTTTTGGAAAGCACCCTAAGTAAAAAAACTTCTTTCTTTCAAAAAGGGTAACAAACTTAGGCCCCCACTTAAGATAAAAATGTACTAGCCCCTGAAGGCCATTTGATTAGGTACATCCAGGTCACCACTAGTTTTTTTTCTCTTACTGTGAGATCTTTGTGAAGTTCAGCACCCCAGCTGTTCATCACACAGTGCCTAGGCCACAACACTTGATCAATGATGGGGATTTTGTCGTAAACCACAACATCGAAGACCTTGGCTTTCTCAGCTGTCACTTGACTAGAGGAATGCAGCGGGTACAAGGACACATTGTCAACAAAGGAGCAATGATCTGATGGATGCCAATCAAAAGAGTAGGCGACAACACTAAACATCTTTTTTGACAGCAGCTCTTGTATGACTGATACAACTTCTTCACCATCTTCACCAGCAGGGCAGTTTTTTAAGGCAAGAGACCCACTAATGAAGTCATTTTGTACATCAACAATAAGCAGAGCTGATACAGGGTTGAGAACCTACAAAGAAAGAACAGCTAGTTTACAGGCACTCCACTCAAATACTTGGAAACAAATAATAATTCAAATACAACATACCAGGGTTAAAAACCCCAACTGGCAGGAGGCAACCACTTGGCTATTTACTACAAGCATGGCGAAGGATTTGAACTCGGGAAAACTGAGAACAAAATAATCGAGTAAGTGGCCATAGCATGACTCCAACCTGGGACCACTGGATTGCAAGTTCCGACGCACTGACAACTTGGCCATGCTGCCTCCTGTTGGTGTGTGCCACTATTTTTTATTGTTTGTGTATGAAAATCATAAATCATAACACGTCATGAAATTGACCACTCCAGAAATACCATAACATACCATAATTCTCTTTGTTTGTCGCCCCAAAATTTTGCATAAGCATTATCTTCAGTTTCTCTTGGGGCTATTTAACTCCCAAGAGAAACTGAAAACAATGCTTATGCAAAATTTGGGGGTGACAAACAAAGAGCATTATGGTATGCCATGATACTTTCTGGAGTGGTCAGTAGTGTACAGTGTATAGGTATGCAATATAATGCACAATGAAGTGTTGCAAAACTGACTTGTAAAGCTGCTTTTTATAATATATTGACAAATCACTTTGAAGTGCATTGGTTAATGCACGTATCACCAAAGCAGAGATCTAATGTTTTAGTCAGAGAGGACAATCCTTTCCTGTTCCTTAGTTTATAAATTGAAGTGTTTATAACACTATAAAAAACAGCTTTGTACTCACTGGTCTTAACCAATATTCCCACAAGGCCACTAAAGAACTCTCCTCAATTTTTTTCTGAAACAAATTAAACAGTACAATGAAACAAAGAAGAGGACAACGTTTTGCTGGAAGAAAACAGTGAACTGTTTTCCTCTGATCTCACTCACAGACTATTGGCAAGGAAACAGTTTCACTGGCAGGTGTCATGTGAGCGTAAAGAAGCTAACTGAAAAATGTATGTTGTTGAGAAAACAGGACTACTGAGACAGTTGGTGGTCGGGGGAGGGGGGAGGGAGAGAAGATGGGATGGAGCGTATAATATTAACTCTTTCACTGCCAGAGTGCTTAAGAGAGTTTTGTAAGGTGACTTTAACTTTTGAGTCTGCGGACGAAATCCTATACATGATGTGACCATTCAATGAAAGCTCTTTGTCTGTACTAACACATGGTGCTATTTGTCACAAAATGAAATTAGGAAATTTGGTCCAAACTTGCTTTTGGCTAAATTTGGCAGTGAAACTGGTTTAAACGAAACTTTCTTCAATGGGAAGCAAGGAAATATATTGTATACCATAAATATTTTTTAAGACCCATATGTATACAGAACTCCACAACACTCAAGACTAAAAATAAATTTGTACCCTTCTGGAAAGATGATATTTGTTTGCACTTCAAAATGTCAGAGGTCATGTGTATAAACAGGATAAATAATTTTGTGCGAGTATGTCAACTGGGTGTTGTCTGCATGATTGCTTTGATTTGCTAGAATGAATTTTGTATGTACTCCAAGTATACAAATGCAAATTATGACTATAACATGAATATGCTCTCATGATGATAATTACCAATACCACGGCGTTAAAGCAAGAAAGCGTACATTTAGTTCTAAACAGGTTAAGAAACTTGAGGGTCTTGTCCTAAACAGGGTCAGGGTTTCAAACGCACAGTGGCTCACCTATAGCCAATATTGGTCGAGTAACCCCCCCCCCCACGTAGGGGGCTTTGATGCAGGCGTATCAGCCTGTGGCATTGTTTTAGCAGGCAATCAGCTGCTGTGCATCAAAGGCTCGTGAGAGGGCGTTTCAAGCGTTATACTACGACAGGAGAAATTTCTGCAATTTGATTGGCTTAGAGCAGTGGTATTTCAGCTTAATTTGAAATACCTACATGTGAAAATTACAAACCTTTTGCGGGTAGTAGTAGAAACAAATAATAGCATGATTTGTACGTGATATTTGGCATAAATACCACTCGTGATATTTCAACATTGTCTCAAATTATAACAATTTTGAAATATCACTCGTGGTATTTACGCCAAATATCACTACAAATCATGCTATTACCGATACTAATTTCTTTCTTTACGTAAGAGGAAACGTATGAGATATGTGAAATTTTATTTATTCGGACTGATCTCAAGTTATTAGCAAGCTTGTTCGTTCAAGATGGCTGCACTTTGGCCTCGTTCTGTTTTAAGTTTTTCTATGGACCGAGACGAAAAACAGCCAAAAGGGAACTTGACTAATATACAGCGATCTTGACAAACTTAAGCTCTAAAGCTTAAAAACTCGAAATTTCTCGCACTACTGACCAAGCAAACACAGAATTGCTGTCTAATATCCTCTGTTTGCTCTGTCGTTAACCGCTCTAAACCATGTTCCTCAAACAGCAGGCTCAACCAACCACTGAATTCATCTTCCGGAACTTCTTGATACTTCGTATACTTCACTACAATAACCAAACAATGTAAAGTTAAAAACGTTAGACGAATGTCGTATTATGCATGCTATGAGCATGTGATGATGACAGGACAATTTTAAGCTCAATTAATTACGTTCACTTACCTATAGAAGACTTCTTAAAAGAGGAGGAAATGTTCTTTCTTAATAAGTCTAAAATATGCTCTCCTTTCCCATCGTTTTGCCTGTATTTGTCAAAGAAGTGACTAACTATATCTAGAAGGGACATGTTTCCCGTTACGTCACAGGATTTGCTAGGGTTTTCCTGGGGCCAAAGTTGGCAAATGTTGGCAGCTTATTGTTATCCATTATTGGCACAATATTGGCACAGGCTCTTGTCTGGTGGTTCCCAGTCCTTATTGACGTCGCAGGAAGCTGTTGAAGCCGTGAGATAATGAACGGTGAGTCCGATCTTCGATATAGCAATAAGAGGCAATTGGAGGCGGAAGAAGATTCTGGAACGAATTCTGACTTAACAGAAAAGCATTCGAGCGATGTTCGACAGATCCCCATGGTAAGAAATACTATTAGGTATTTTTTGTGTTTTGAGTGCAAGTCACCCGCGCGAACTAACCATCTTGTCACAAATTCAAGGTCACTTCAACGAAACGTATGAAAAACATTGAAAAGGAACATGAAAATACTGTTAGCCGTTCTTCTTCAAAACCTCTGGAATGTCCTTCATCTCAGTTTCCATATCTTCATACTCAGGTGTGTTCTTAACGATTACCGATTTAACTTCATAGATTGATTTGTTTGCAGGTACAGGCAGACCATCCTTTGTTTGTGACAATCGGAGCATCGATCTTTTGTTCTTTATGCAGTCGGCTAGGGGGCCGGGGAGGCAGGGCATGGGGTGGGGATTTGACATTTATCACAAATATGCTGACAAACTGCCTCCACGAGGGCAAATCATTCCAGTCAAATAATGCACAAACATTTCCCCACCCCGGCTGGTTATCCCCGATTATCCAGGTCTTCGGGGATTGGCGCTCCGATGCGTATAAATGTAATTTGGATATCTCTGTGGCCCTTAGGCCCCATTTACAAGGAGGGAGGGTCACCCTCTTGCTCAGGTTACCCTAGCAAGAGGGCTACCCTAGCACTCGCACATTTTTTCGTTTTTTACATGACGTGTTTACAAGGCAGGTAGGGTTACTCTAGTGCTAGGGTAACCCTGCCTGAGTGGTAGGGTTACCCTAGTAAGAGGGTTACCCTACATGTACCTGCCTTGTTAACGCTCTGCTAGGGATAACTCTCCTTCCCGGGTGAACTTTCGTCTGTCATGTGTGACCAGTAGTCGTGCCAATTTGAAATGGTATTATCCAATTTCTGAGCTCAATGATTATTATAAATAGCTGAAAAATAGGCTGGTTTAGCCTGCTGAGGCATTGGTTGTTTGGCTGGTCTGGCAGGCAGAGAGGTTGTTATTCTGTTGTCATTTCGTCCATCTTGTGTAGGCAGCTATCCTTATCAATAAAGCCTCTCTCTTTGCCAAACAGTCAGTGTCTTAGTGTCATGTGTAGTATTTAGTTTACGAAGAAAATTGTATTGTTTTTAGGTACTAAAAATAGCTAATTTTCTGAGTTCACAGTCGGTAACCTTTTGATCTCCTGTTACTAGTGCAATGTCCAGTACATTGTTACCCAGTGATTTTACTCTGATTGTACAGTTCTATCATTGTCAGTGTTCATGTCGGATGCTAGATTTATGGTGTTATTATTATTATTATTATTATTGTTTATGGTGTTATTTGTGTATGACAGTTTTTTTTTTAATAACATTTATTTGGTTACAACACTCCTAGTGACAATACTTACATTTTACATGGAGGAAAAATAAAAAAAACGTACAAGAGAGTTTTTTTGTGTATGACAGTTTAGGGACCACAGAATGGAATTGGAATAGGGGGCTATACGACAAATATGTACATGTGGCATTGTTTTGCCACAACGATCAAGTACAACAATATTATGAAAACATATTTGCTCTAGTGGCCACCACACCACTGTATTGACCGAGTTAGCAAATTTGTTAGTAAATGTGGTGATAACAGTAACTGTGGAGAAGATAGACAATTATATTACTAAAGAATTGGAGATTAAAACAAGGCATTAAGGCCCAATAATCAGACACAACTAACATAAATTTGTGAAACTGTGAAAGGTTTGAACCTACCTACTCTTAAAATAAATTTTCTGATTTCCTACCTACTCTTAAAATAAGTTTGCTGATTCTTTGGAATAAGGTGTAGAATACTTTTATTTGTTGTGTCTGTTTAAAAAAATTGTCTTTTTTAAATTTTTTTTGTCTTATTTGTATCAGGAGCAGTTGAAGAAAATTTTGGAAACAAGAAGATTCCGAAATCTTCAAGAAAAGTTCAACTTTCAGGTCAAGTGTAAATATAGCTTTGTTGAATGTAAAAGGATATTGCAGAGAATGAGTCAAGACAGGTATAAACTCAGCTGAGTCTTTTTTTGTAAGGATGCACTTTCCAAATGAACAGTTTACATGTGAAAAAAAGAAAACAAACAAACAAACAAGCTGATAGCACATCAGTAATGACATATATTTACCAACCTCGCAGTGAATTTGATTTACTTACCTATTACTTCCTTAGATGAGTAATGATCTGCTCATGATATAACTCACTCTCAAATCCATTGTCTAGATTGGTAGGTTGAAGTATATGAAGGGTAGGGAATTTTTCCATTTTGATCTGAAAGAAGGCTTAAAGGGGGGGCTAACTGATTCATTCTAAACTCCTGTGATTTATTCATTTTATTTATGCATCATCTACAGCAGTTCAAAGGGATACAAAGTTCTAAACTATGCATGTGAATGGGGTACAATAAATTTAAATTTATCAATAGAAGATATTCGAAAGGAATGCCTTGTCTGTCACAATTGGCATATAAAAGGATTAGGGGTCCAACCTCAGGGAGGGGTGGGCCTGCCCATATAAAACTTTGTTGAGTACCCCTCTGCCCTCATCCCCAGGATCAGCTAGATCAACTCTGTAATGTGTACATCAGTAAGCTCATTTTATTCAGTATTACAAACGCAAACAACAACCATCTTCAATGCTGAGGATGAATCCCATGTACAGGATGTCAAACAATACCGGTAGTCACTGTTACTAATTATTAACTTAGATTTTTTGTTAAATGACCACTGGTCTTAAATCACTCAACCGTTTAAAGCAAAGGAAGTCTATGGTGCTGAGAAGTTTTACAAGCAACACTAATTGAATTTGGGCCACTAAAATAGGACACATCTGCTTAACAGCCTTTGCATGCGCAGTCACTTTTCCAGATTGGTTGTGCCAGTTATTTAAGTTTCACTCACTGAGATATCTTTTTGTGAACCAGGATTCTGACGATAGTGATGAAGAGGAGGAACAAAACAGCATTAAGACAGACCATGATCAGAAGCAATATGAGTTGACAATGAAGGCCATACGGGAAACACTCCTTAAGAAACCAGATGATTAAAGTCATATCTTCTCCCTCAATGTTAATCAGCAATTTCATATTATTTAATTGCATTGTCATTATTTTCTCTATTTTCTCATTCTTTTTCACAGTTTTATATCTGACAATATTATTGTTCACCACCAATTTCAAGTTATTTAATTGTGTTGTGATTATTTTCTCTATTTTCTCATTCAATACTCTTTTCACAGATTTTACATGACAAAATTATTTTATTTTGTTATTATTTTTATTTTCTTATTCTATAGTCTTTTCAGAGATTTATAGCTGACAATTATTTATTGTTCACCAAAAATTTCAAATTATTTTTGTGTTGTTATTATTTTTCCTATTTTCTTATTCTATACTCTTTTCACAGAATTTCACAGATTTAAAGCTGACAATAAAATTATGTATTGTTCACCACAAATTTCAAATAATTTAATTACATTGTTATTATTTTCTTATTCTATACTTTTTTCACAGCCACAAATTTCAAATTATTTTATTGTATTGATATTATTTTCTCTATTTTCTTATCTAATATTCTTTTCACAGATTTATATCTGACAATATTCATATCGACTTTGAAGAGTCAAGTGTAATTACCTTGTACATTTTATATGGAAACATACTTTGAAGTAAAAGCGGATGTGATAATTGAACAAAAAAATTGCTAGTCACTGCCACACCATCCGAAATAACCGCAGTAGAAAACATATATGATGTCAAAAATGAAAGAAAATAAATTTGCAATTTTTATTTAGGTCTGTGTGGTTTGTTTGTGCTTGATATATTCAGACAAAAATATGCCTAGAGTTGCTCAAACCAACACAATGACAATAACATGTACTATACCGTGTTGTATTTTCTGATGTTTTAAATGAAAAGAAAAGCTTTCTAGACTATAAAAATGTCAATTTTTGATTTGTCCAAAGGGGCTAACTTATGGTTTTGTTCTTTCTCTAAATAGACCTAGAAATAGTGTTCCTCAGACAGAAAAAGGGCTTTCAAAACTGTAAAGAAGTCGATTTTACAGAGTCGCCATATTTGTGATTTTTCCAAAGGGGTTAACCCATGGTTTTGGTCCAAAAAATTGAAATTTTATCTTTCTCTGTTTGTTAGTCTGAATGGACCTGGAAATAGTGATTGTTTCGTTCAAAATAGAAAGAAAGGCTTTCCAGACTAGAAACATGTTGTTTTTCCAGAGTTGCCGTATTTATAATTTTTCTGAAGGGATTAACCCATGGTTTTAGCCGAAAAATTGAGATTTTGTTTTTCTTGGTTTTTGGTAAAAACGGACCTAGAATTTGTTCTAGATAGAAAGAAAGGGTTTCCAGACTATAAAAATGTCGTTTTTCAAGAATCGCCATATTTGTGATTTTTCCAAAGGGGTTAACACATAAGTTTAAGTGGAAAAATTAAAATTTTATCTTTCTTGGTTTTTGGTAAAAATGCACCTAGAAAACACTAGAAATAGTGTTTGTTTTTGATCTAGGGCTTTCCCGAATAGTCGTTTTTCCCAGAGTCGCCATATTTGTGATTTTTCCAAAAGAGTTGGTTAACCCATGGGTTTAGTCCAAAAATTGAAATTTCATCTGTGATGATTTTTGGTCTAAATAGACCTAAAAATAGTGTTTGCTGATGTTGCAAATAAAAAGAAAGAGTTTCCAGACTATAGAAATGTCGTTTTCCGAGAATCGCCATATTTGTGGTTTTTCCTGCAAAATTAAAAAAGAAAGCCGGAAAGAACCAT